GGGTCACGAAGCTTTGGAGGAAACTTCTTCTGTATTATAGCACTACACTCCTCAGTGAGTGTTACCGTCTGACAATCCTACAACTTGTGTTTTCTTGATAAGAGATCCTTCATAAACTTTGGCATAATTGGGCATATTAGCCAAAGCTTCAGCAAATGGAATATTAATGTGAAGCTTCTTGAATATATCAAGGAACCTGGCATATTGTTGCTTCTGAGCATCCTGCTTGAATATATCAGGATAGGGTGCCATAGCTCTCATATACTCGGGACTCAATTCATGTTTCTTTTCAGCAATCACATTCTTTCCTTTTTCAATTTCCTTTTCAACAGGTTTCACTACTTCAGCAGGTTTTTCACTTTCTTTTTCAGACTCACCCACCTCTTCAAGTTTCTTCTCTACTTCAGGAGATTGAAGTACTTTGCCACTTCTAGTTACAATGGCCAAACAATCCTCCTTCGGATTAGTAACTGTGTTACTAGGAAAAGTACCTGGAGTTCTATCCGCAATTTGCTTAGCCAGTTGGCCAATTTGATTCTCCAAGTTCCTGATAGAGGCATTGGTGTTGTTGTTATTGGCTCTAGTCTTCTTCATGAAAGCATTTGAGTGTTGAGCCATTTGTCCTACTAACTTCTCCAAATCAGAAGGTTCCTTGGGCTGAACCGGTGGAGGCTGCAAGTAGTTGTTTGACTTGATTGATTTAATTTTGATTGATTTATAATTAGTTTATAAGATGGTATTTCAAGTCCTATTATAAAGAGTTAAATATTTTATTATCTTGATAAATTATATTTGAGACCATAAATTTTTCTCTTTTATTATCACAATTTTAGGAGATTTCTTATCTGTTGCAATTTTCTAATTAATCTACGTATTTCATGCGTTTCGGCATCAACACTCCTATTCATAAATTTTTAGTTCTTTTTTTTTTGGAGATAAAATTTTTAGTTCTTTAAACTTTAGTATAGATTCAATGTGTGTATGTGTGTGTGATTATAAATTATTTAAATATCTTTTTATTTGAAAAAGTTTATCTTATTGTCTTTTCAATTAAAATTAAATTTAGCTTTTTATTTTTAAATTATGTTAATAAGTTTTATCCCTACATTAGAAAAACTAAACTTTAGTATAGATTCTGTGATTATAAAATATTTAAATATCTTTTTATTTGAAAAATTTATCTTATTGAGTGTGTTTTAATTATGAATGTGTGTACTTGAAAAATTGCGTGTACTTGAAAAATTCTGTAAACTTAAGCTATTTGCGGGTACTTGAAAAATCTTGTTGAGTTATTAATGTGTTTAATTAACTTAAAAACATGTATTTTAATTTCAAAAATGTTGGAGAACTTGTTAATCTTGTATTTGATGACTTCCAGCTTGTATTCGAACGAATTCATTATACTATTGTGTATCTTATCACCACTAAATGGGATATTACACCATTTAGATTACTATTATTCATGAAAATTGTAGAATTATAATACATGCTTTCTTTAAATAAAGGGAAAACTTCATTTTCACACATTGTGATTTTGTGATTTATCATTTGATCCCCCTTGGTTTTAAACTTATCACTTAGATTCATTGTGCTTAAATAATTTATCATTTACCCCGTGGTTTAAAAATAAAAATTTTAAAAAATAAATAAGAGGAAAATAAATTTTCCCTCTTTTTATTTTATATCCTCACCTAAAGCATTTAAGGTTTAAAAACTAAAAATAAATTCTAAGAAAATTCACTTATTTTTATCAAGAGAATAAATTCAAATCAAATATTTTTATTTTATCTATTTAAAGAAAGTAAATATCTTATTTTGATAGTACATATTTAATTTATCATAAATAATATTTTTTTAATTTCATCTTAAATAATCTTTTTAATTTCAAATATATTTTTAAAATAAAAAAATTAAGATACTTTATAAATTAATTTCAGAATAAATAACTTAAAATATATTTCAAACCCTAAATGCATTACATGAGGATATAAAATAAAAAAGAGAGAAAAATTATTTTAAATATGTTTTTAAAATGTTTATTTTTAAACCACAAGGGGTTTAAGTGAAAAAATTTGTAACCACAAGGAGTCTAAGTAAAAATTTGAAACCATAGGGGGTTAAATGATAAATTATTTCAGCACAGTGGGTCTAAGTGATAAGTTTAAAACCATGGAGGTCAAATGATAAATCACAAAATCACAATGGATGAAAATGAAGTTTTCCCTTAAATAAATTAGCAATGAAAAGTAATGAAAAAAGTTAAAGCAAAGCGAAGATGGCAAAATAATTCATTTTTTATTTTTCTGCTTTGCTTATTTGAAATTTAAATATGTCAATAGACAAGCCTAAGTAATAAAAAAAAGTTTGAATAATTAATTAAACAAGTTAATGAAAGATAATTAAGAAATCAAAATTATGAGAAATTAAGTAATCAAAATTATAAAAAAGTTTATAAGAAAATAAACAAGTAGTAGTGTGTGTAGATAAATAGACTATCTCACCGTTAAGTTATTATTATTATTATTTTTATTTCTCGGGAACCTTTTAGCCCCCGTAATCTGCTTTTTGGGCACACTTACTAGTTGTCCCTAGAGGTGGCAAAGTGGGTGTCCCACTCCACCATCAATCTGTCAAAAAATGAGTCAGCCTGTCCTGCTCCGCTTTTGAAAGTGGGTTAAAAAATTCAGCCCGCCCTGCCCCGTTTGGCGGGTTGGGCGGGTTGGCCCGCCAGTCCGAGCCTTATTTACACTAACCTGCCTCGGCCCGCTTATGCTCGCCATCAACCCGTCAAAAAATGAGCCCGCCCCGCCCCGCTTTTGAGATGGGTTGAAAAACTCAGCCCGCCCTGCCCCGTTTGACCGGTTGGGCGGGTTGGCCCGCCGAGCCTAGCCTGTTTTGTCGGCTCTAGTTGTGCCCGTGTGTGAAGGAATCTTATGACCAGAAAGATAGGAAATCAAAAAAAATTCATGTAAAAAGACAATTTTATATGAAAAAACAATAAGTAGATTAAGAAAAATATTTAAATATCATTAAAAAAGGAAAAAAAAAACAAAATATTCGCATAGCTTTTAAGTTATTAAGATAAAGAAATCAACGAATGAGATAAAAAGGGAAAAGTATAATTCTTAGTAATATATATATATAGAGAGAGGTAGGATCCTTTGACATCAGTGTCAAATTTGAAATTTGACACCTCATCTGAGAGCCATTAGATCAAAAAACATTAACGACTCTGATTTTTAAGCATATGATACCATTGATTTTTTTTATCTAACGGCTCTCAGATAAGGTGTCAAATTTCAAATTTGACACTAATGTCAAAGGATCCTACCTCATATATATATATATATATATATATATATATATATATATATATATATATATAGCAATTTTATCAATAGGTGTAAAATAAATATGCATATAAGCTATATATTCTTCATAACAATTTTTAAGTTATATCTTTTTTAATTTTATGATGAAAAACGACTAGCTTAATTTTATAAGGAGAAATTCATAAGACTATATATGTTCAAAATATTTTTATTATAATATTTATTAAAGTATTTAACAATTAATAATAAATGAGTACAATTAATAATAAATGAGTTTTTTATTTTGATAAGTCAATAATTAATTAAAGACATAAAAAAAAGGTAGAGTGTAATTGTTGGTCAAATTTAAGATTTATTATTAGTTTAACAAACCTGAAAATTATTGTTAGAGAAATATAAAAATCATTGATTTAACCACACTGAACAACTTAAGTTTTTGCCTTGAAATTATTCTTTACATGATATGCCGACATAACTAAGTGATCATGAATTCGATCATCACTGTCCTTATTCTAATAATTAAATATTACATAATTTTTTAGCCCGGGTAAATTGTCGTACTGATGCAAAATATAAAACCATTGACCCAACAAGTTAAACTTTTGTGTTGAAATATTTTTTACTATAATAAAGTATAATTTTCTTTTTTCTTATAAAACACTTTAGTTTGTTTTTGGGAAAAGTGTGTGTCATTTTAAAGGATGTAAAGTTATGTCATTTTAAGAGAGAGAAAGAGATAGATAAAGGAGGAGAGAGAGTTGACAAAAAAAATAAAGGTGTGGGTCCCATCTCTTTATGAGAGTGAAAGGATATAAATTGTGTCATTTAAAAGGATAAACATTTTTCCCTTTATTTTTACAATAAAAACCTAACACATCCAGATACCTCTATTTTGATAGTTACATTAAAGTAATTTTTATCTACCACTGTTCAAACAACATAAATAACTTGCATGTAATTTCACTTGGAAACAAAATTAAGGTCAAGCAAAATAAGTTCTCATTGCCAAAATGATGACCGGAAGGTATAGTCCCTTTGGAGATATAGAGAAAAGGGAAGTGCTATGAATGAAATGTTGCAAAACTCAATGTATATGCACTATGTAACAATTTAATTTTGTGAAGGGACCAGCAATAATTTCAGCTATTAATGCCTTCACTGAAATGACACTTTCCAATGGCAGTGCCTCTGCTCTGAAATGCACATGAACTACATGAATGATCTAATCCTCCTCCTCACAGTTTCTCACGCTATTCATCAATGACTTACCCTTTATATCTGCAATAGTCAGATACACAGATGGTAAATGAATTCAATGAATGAATGGGTTTAAATGCACTGCACACACTAGAGGTCTAGAACCTGCTCTATACTCAATGCTCATGCACTTAAAAAGGGAATGTTTTCACACTTGAATGACCCCTTTACTAATTAACATTACAATAGTTGGTTCAAGTTTTACTTATATTGCAGATAAGGTAGATAAGGTAGTAGAGAAAAACGTGATAGCTATAAATCCTTCAATTACTACACAAGTAACACAACCCTTTTTATTTGCATGACCTTGTTGGTTTTTCCCCAACTTGGATCTCTATTTAAACAGCTAGCAAATTACTCAATCTCTCAATAGAAGCTATCCTATTCCTACATGCCTCTCTTCCCTAACAAAAGAATCTACTACCTCTTCTCTCTCCTACTCATAAGTTCCATGTCTTGCCAAATAACATTCACATGTCTTTGTTTCTTGTGAAAAAGATAAATCATTTCCAACTTTTTGCTTGAAGTTGGTTCTCCACTAGCAGCTACCACTCTTTATCCTCACAGTAAACTCATCTTCTTCTAGGAGCCAATGCCCCTGAAAGCAAAGCTGTAGCTGCATATCATAAAGAGACCATTCAGAAGCTTCCCTTCAATTTTTCTAAACTTGGCCATGAATCTCATAACTCTCTTGCTTTTTTTACCTTTGTTTACACAGTTTTTGGTAGTTGAGCCTGCAAGACCCAAGCTACCAGGGAAACCAAGGTTTCCAATCTCCCAAATCAGTGTGATGGGTTTTGTTTATTGTGATTTCTGCTCCAACAACAGCTTTTCCAGACACAGTTACTTCTTGTCAGGTGATGAGTCTCAATAACCTGAAGTTAGATACAACTTAAGTTTTGTGACTTGTGATGAAACCTTGAGTTGCATGTGTTTATTGGTACTGAAAGAGTTTTTCAAATAGAGTGTTTACACATTTTTTGGGTTTTTCATAATTATCTCCAGGTGCTGAGGTCAGAATAGATTGCATGTTCAAGGCACTCTCAGACGAAACCACAGAACAGATTTCACTTTCAGTGAACAGAACAACAAATAAGTATGGGTTGTACAGGCTGGAAATACCATCAGTTGATGGGGTGAGATGTGCTGAAGATTCTGAAGTTGTGTCTTCCTGCAAGGCAAGCTTAATAGGGAGTTCAACCTCTTCTTGCAATGTTCCTGGCTACAGAAGCACTTCTAATGTGATAGCAATCAAAGCAAGAAGAGACAATCTCTGCATATATAGCCTTAATGCTTTGACTTTCAGACCTCCCAAGAGGGACATCACTTTATGTGGTAATTAAATGGAGTAGCTTGCACAAGTAGCACAGGACTTGGCTACTTGTGTATACATATAAATTCCAAGAAACTAAAAACTCTTATATGTTCTCTTTTTCTTGCCTATCAAGAGCATAGATCTCTCTGTTCATTGTTTCACTGCATTATTTGTTTGGTAATACTATTATCATATCATGCTATGCTAAAAAGAATATCATGCAAGTAGAGTTTGGGTGTGAAAGATAATTTTGATTTATGCAGTTGATTAGGTCCTTTTAAAATGTACTAGATGTACATAATTTATTTATGTCTTGTGAAATTGTAAAGGACGAGCTACTTGTTCAACAAAGCAACTGAATGAATAAACTCGTTATTGTTATGTACATCATATTTCCCATTATAATTAGACACTTCTTCAAAAGAAGGGAGAAAAAGTTAAATCTAACAAAATAAATTGGAAATCTTCAGTGCACAAACAAATTTCAATTCTTAATATTGCAGACACTGATTGACCATGAGCCATGCTACAAACTATTATCCAAACGAGGCCACATGAAGTTTGTGATTTTCATTCCTAATATCCATAACTGCAATCCTGAATTCCTAATATTAGGAAGAAAATTCACTCTGGTTTTTTAAGATTTGCCTCAATATCATGTAAGAGTAACTGTTCTTTGCCTATTATATATAGGGCCCTCTATGATGCAACTTGCCATTAGCTCCAGAATCCCGTACAAAAAGAATATATGTCAGGCTATCATCACCAATGGTTTCTCTGGTCCTTATTAGCTCCACAGTGGAAGATAAAAGTTTTCCTACTATGCATCCAAGCTAATGAATACACAAACAAATATACTCCAAAATTTGACCATAATGGCCTAATCAATAAATGAGAACAATAATGAAGCAACCTAACTTTCTGAACAGGATTATCCTATGAATATGATGTCAAATCTAACCTTATTGGTAATTGCAAAACAATGCAGTACACAAACAGTACTTGCAAAACCCCTGAACTGATTACAATTATAATGGTAGCAATAAAAAAAAAAAAAAAAAACTCCAAGTCCTTCCTCCCCCTTGGTGGCTGGAGACAATAAAATCAAGTAATAAAGTTGAAAAGCTGAACGATATAATGGCCAGTGAATTGGACATGCCAGAATGGAAGCACATGCTTCTCTGCTGAAGGTGTACTCATGGAATGAACTTCCAAGAGGGTGGCAAATACCCAATTAACAATGCAGCTCAGGGATTAAAGTACACATGATAGAAACTTGGTGATTCCTCCTTGCTTGAGAGGTAACCGCTTGGAACAGCCACCTCGTGAACGCATGTGTGTTCCAAACTGCGAGGCTTCTTTGGCTTTGAAGTGTCAGTAACGACGTCGTGTTCCCCTCGCTTTCCATGTGTAGTTGGCGATTCCTTCTCCAAGTGTTAATGACAGCCATGAGATTTAAAGGTTCCACATCGGCCAAATCAGGGAGAAGTATATCGTTTATAAACTGTTGGACATGCACGTAGTGCTCTGTGATTACAGTAGCCACGGCCACGTGGGCGCAAGAAAGTAGGATTGATTTTTCCGGGTCGAGTCACTGTTTGGTCGTCTCCGGTCATCAATATTGTTTAATTTATGGGCCAATCATATGTGGAACTTGGTCACTAAAAAATAACACTGATCTATGTGTAGGAGAGGAGAGAAGAAACATAAAAGTATATTTTGACAAGATTTGTCACATGGCATAGAATATTTTAAGCCTCGCCCAACCTCTTAGCCTATCGCAAGCTAAAATATCGGCCTGGCCCTGTTTTTAAAAAAAAAACACAGAGCCTGGCCTGGCCTAGCAGGCCTGCTAAGAGAAACATATTGCAAATCTTCTATATGTCTATAAGATCTTTTCATATATTTTTTGTAATAGTGCAAAATATTAAAATTTATCTCAGTTAGTCAATTTTAATTGAAACCAATAAGAATAGTCTAAAATACTCAAAATAAAATGCCAGAGTTAGGTGATCAGAGTACACACCACAAAAATTGAGAAAATAACACTTGAAGTCTTGAACCCAGTACAATACAAAAAAAAAAAAAAAAAAAAAACTAAGTTCCCATGTTCAATTCACAATTCTCCACAACCCAATGTAGCAAGATCTTAATCCTTAAGAGACCAAAGAGACCTTCACCAACAATATGATCATTCTTTATACAAGCAACATATTAAATAAGGAGCAGTGAGTCAGTGACCATTCTTTATACCACCTGAATACAATAGAAAAAAATCAGAAGAAAAAAATTTATTCAAGGGAACAAATGATGATAATATAAATAATTACAAGTCTTGTTCAATCGAGGCACCTTCATACAAACAATTTGATATCATTTGATGTTGGCTCATCCTACATTAAAAATAAATTAAATTAGATTCCTATTGAAATTTAAATCAAATACAATAAAATTGTAAAACAAACTTAATTACTTAAGTTGATACCTTTTGCTTTTTTTTCAAACCATACTTGCTGCGTAGCCAATCTCCACCACAAATTAAAGCTTGAATAGTGTCTTCAGCTAGGCTAGCACGATACGCGTCAATAACTCTTCCTCCAGCACTGAATGTGGACTCTGATGCTACTGTAGAGATTGGAACAGCAAGTATGTCTCTTGCCATCTTTGATAAAATTCTGTACTTTGAACTATTATTCTTCCACCATTCCAAGACATTGAAGGAAAGCTGAGTTTTTTCATCACATATATAAACATCCTCTTCAAGATAACATTTTAACTCTGATTTTATTGGGGGGCCAGCTTGTTTTTCTCGCACCATGTTCATGATTTTAGCAAAACCAGAACCAAGTGAAACTTGAGGTGGACGATGATGATTGATTCATACTAGCTTCCACTTCATTATTAGAGGATGACTCTTGCAAACTTAGAGCAAAATACTCATCGTATAAATCCTCTAAAGCTTGATTCATTTTTTCCACATTATAATTTGCCTCATTTTCTGATTTGTATATTAGTGGGAAACAAATATTTACCACGTGAAATTTACATCATGGGTCCAATACACTTGCTATAGCCATCAACAAATTGCATTCCCCCCAATATTTGTCAAATTTTTCTTTCATTGGCTTTGCCATTCCTCTCATAAAATCATCAATATCTTCAACTGCAGCATCAATCACTTCTTTAATCCTATAAACTTCAGGAAGATATAAATTGGCTGTGGGGTAATCACTTCCTGATATGACATTAGTAGCAAGACTGAAAACTTCTAAGAGATTACAAACTTTTTCAACCTTTTCCCAATCCTCATTAGATGGCAAGTAATTATAGTGTGGCTCCCTCTCTTTGTATTCTGGAAATACATCTTTGAATTTGCAAGTAATAAATAACATTTCATATGTTGAATTCCATCTAGTGGGACAATCAATAACTAACTTCCTTTCTTTTATTCCCATCTGCTTAACTATATCGCTAAATGTCTTCAACCTTGAGTCAGATTGATTAACATATTTAACACTTTCACGAACATTTTCAATGATATCCTTTATCTGACCAAGACCATGTTGTACCAATAAATTCAATATATGTGCACAACATCGCACATGAAATAACTTTCCACTAAGGACTAAATTATTGTTTCTTGATAAAGTGCCTTTGAGGTTTCTTATGCAAACATCATTATAAGCAGTATTATCAACCGACACTGAAAATACTTTACTTTCAATACCCCATAATTGTGAACATTTAAAAATTGCATCAGAAACATCAACTCCACGCCTTGGAGGTGGCACTTTAACAAAACTCAAAACTCTTTTTTGTAAATTCCATTCTGAATCAACAAAGTGACAAGTGATAACCATATATTCAGCAACTTGGTGACTAGATCTCCACATATCAGTGGTTAAACTTATCTTATTCACACTCATCAGTAAAGCTGTAATAAATTTTTTTTCTGCCTCATATATTTTCATGCAATCATTTTTTGTTGTCTGACGCGAGACTTTCTCAAATTCATTATTAGCAAACTTAAAGCCCCACATCCAAATTGTATCATCCACAATGCTAAAAGGATACTCATGAACCATAATAGCAGTAGCAATAATTTCTCTCATCTTTTCATTAGAATAATTACCTCCGGGTGTAAGGAAAGGGTTCAAGGAAGAATTTGTCGGTTGAAATGCTAGAGTGGATTGCTTATGTCGTCCTTGGTCTAATTTCCTTTGCAAGCAATTTTGTGAATGCCTTCTCAAATGGCTAGTGCTGCCTCCATTTCCACCAGTAGCAAATCTACATTTGCAATAGTTGCAAACTGTTTTTCGCCCACCCTCAGGGAGTTCAACTTCATGAAAGTCATTCCAAACAAGTGATGTTTTCCTCTTCTTTTTTGTTGTCATTGATTCTCCACCATCTCTTACTTGTTCATCTCTTACTTGAACTTGACTGGAGGAGTCACTTGATATCCTAACCCCATCATTTCCACTTGGATTAGAGTCCATTCTTCTAGCCTATAACAACAGGACATAACATAATAAAATATTAGATACACAACATAACGTAGTATAATAATATGCTTCAAAGAGAAAGAAGGCCAGTATAATAATTATTACTTGGTAACTATTTTAGTTATTCTGCAAAAAAAAAAAAAATACTTTTCGATACACCAAGCCGAACATGATAGTCTCTAATATTAATATGCTTGCCATCGGTTACCCAGATCAGTTACCCAAATCGGTTACAATTTTTTTAATATTCTGCAATCAGTTACAATTTTTTTAATATAATATATTGCAATCGGTTACCCAAATCATTACCATTTTTTATTATACATATATTACAATTCATTGACTCGAGCATGCAATTAACAAAGACAATCGGTTACAATTTTTTTAATATTATGCAATCGGTTACAATTTTTTTAATATAATATATTGCAATCGGTTACCCAAATCATTACCATTTTTTTGTTATACATATATTACAATTCATTGACTCGAGCATGCAGTTAACAAAGACAAGGACACCTTATGAATACTTTGACTCGCAGCAAATTTTAAAAAAAACGTAAGATCAAACCCAAAGCCAAAATCAGACTAAACCAGCGCGGTTACCGATTTGACGCAGCAGAGAAGATGAGAAGATGAAGCTCGACAACGGTTGGCAGCGTGGTGTGTCCCTCTAGCACCGATCGAGATGGAGGCTGATGAATGAAGAGCGGGTTGGAGTCTTTGAGATGATAAAACAACGGCGGTGTACCAAAACCTAAGAGAATTAATGTATTATATAAAATAAATTTTATTTAAAAAAGCTGTTTGAAAATACAGGCCAGCCTGGAGGCTAATGGGTTGGGCTTTGCAAAATAGGCATGTGGCCTGATTTTAAAAGAGGCTTTAAAATAAACCCAAATCTGTTTCATTTTTTAAACGGACTGGGCCGAGCCAGGCCAAAAGCAGGCCGGGCCAGAGGCCCCTGACAGGCAGCCTGGCCCATTTACACCCCTAGTTTCTACACCTTGAAGGGGCTATGTATTCCACATTTTATTGGAGAGGAACGAGGGAAAGTAATATGGGACGACATGAGATTGCCTTTTACAGTGAAAACTGAACACGTTTTGATGGAGAGAATAGAAGTTTTGCTTCGTCAAATGCCCTAAAATATCGTCCTGAGATGATGAGGTTTCTACACTTTGAAGGTGGAAAGTTATTTCTTTTGCTCTTAGGCTATGTATTCCACGTTTATGTATTACAAGATTTGTCACATGAAATTTTATTGGAGAGGAACGAGGGAAAGTAATATGGGAGGACATGAGATTTCCTTTTACAGAGAAAACTGAACATGTTTTGATGGAGAGAATAGAAGTTTTGCTTCGTCAAATGCCCTAAAATATCGTCCTGAGATGATGAGGTTTCTACACTTTGAAGGTGGAAAGTTATTTCTTTTGCTCTTAGGCTATGTATTCCACGTTTATGTATTACAAGATTTGTCACATGAAATTTTATTGGAGAGGAACGAGGGAAAGTAATATGGGAGGACATGAGATTGCCTTTTACAGAGAAAACTGAACACGTTTTGATGGAGAGAATAGAAGTTTTGCTTCGTCAAATGCCCTAAAATATCGTCCTGAGATGATGAGGTTTCTACACTTTGAAGGTGGAAAGTTATTTCTTTTGCTCTTAGGCTATATATTCCACGTTTATGTATTACAAGATTTGTCACATGAAATTTTATTGGAGAGGAACGAGGGAAAGTAATATGGGAGGACATGAGATTGCCTTTTACAGAGAAGACTGAAATTTCTCTTTATATTTAGTTTATCTCACCGTAATCGCCCCATCTATTTTCCTGAGGAGAAGTTTGGCTGCACGTTTTGATGGAGAGAATAGAAGTTTTGCTTCGTCAAATGCCCTAAAATATCCTCCTTAATAATATTGAGATGATGAGGTTTCTACACTTTGAAGGTGGAAAGTTATTTCTTTTGCTCTTAGTTACACAACATCCTAAAGCCAAATTTTTGCATCTGTCTATCCAAGCACTAATTTATCTTCATATATTTGGTTAAGTACATGTACAGTCTGCTAATTATTCCAAAGTTAATTATTTCCAAGTTAAAGACTGTATTTGTTCACCAGCTTTGGTTAAGTACATGTATAGTCTGCTAATTATTCCAAGTTAAAGATTGTATTTGTTCACTAGCTTTAAGTTCTCATTTTCGTCCAAACTGCCATTTTATTAACAAATAATTATCTTAATAGAGTGTTAATGATATATTTGTTTTGGGTAAAGGATTTCTCCAGTCATTGGGGATACAATTATCTTCAGTGGACTCAAAACAGCGTCATTTTGGGATGAAAATCAAGATGTTTTTGTAATTATAATATATTGCAGAGTTATGTTAGTCTTTTTTTTTTTTTTTTATAACAGTTTATGTTAGTCTTTGTTATTATAATTTTTTAATCTTATAACCCAAAACGACGTCGTTTTGAGCTCACTGAAAATAACTTTATCTCCGGTAACCGGAGAAATTCTTTTCCCATTTGTTTTTGCTCTCCTTAAAGTTTGTAAATTATAAAGGGATTCAGTTTTGATGTCTCTAAAGTCCTTACTCATATATGAATGATAAGCTTTGAAATAGATGTTCCACCTCGGCAAGTCATAAATGCAGTATAGCATGTAACAACTATAAAACCCACAGCCAGCCACTCATAAAGCATGTCTGTAAAAACCCGCACCGTTAAATTAGAAATTTAAATAATTAATTATGAGTTTAGGAAATAATTTCATAATTGACCTTAAATAAATATGGTAAGGTTAGAATAATTATCACAAAGGATTAATAATGCTGAAAGTCGTTTTTCTGACGAAAAGTGCAGACACCGGTTCTGCTTCACGGTATAAGTGTGTACCGATGAAGTATCCCGAAAAATTATAATAAGTATATGAATATTCCTAGAATAATATTTAGGACTGGTATATCAAGTTTGGGGTCGAAATAATGAGAACTGGTGTCAGGACTGATACTGGCTATATAAAAACGCGTACCGGCAAAGTGCTGCAAAAATTATAATAAAAATATTATAAATCCTAGAAAAATGGCTAGGTTAAGAATCTGAAGTTTGAAGTTAAAATAATTAGAGGAGCTGTTAGTGCTAATACAGTGGGATTAAACTTAATGACTATATAAAGAGGCTTGGCACAAAGACCTAGGTCAGATTTTTATATTTTCCTACGTGAGTTGCTGGTGCTATTGGCTGCTGCCATCTTCTCTTCACCATTTCATGGCCTTCCTCTCCCTTGAAACCTCCAAAGTGATCATCTTTCTTCACACTCCCTTCACCAAAATAGCATAGTTGTGTGAGAACAAGCCTTATGTGGGAGAAGTATCCTTGTTTGTTGAGTGTTGGCTGCTGTGAGTGGTGATTTTGGGGCTGAGTGGTGGGCTCTCATTGAGGAAGTCATTTGCATGTCATTTGAGGCTTCTAGAAGCTATTTTTATTGATAAAGGACCGAGCTTGTAGTGCATTTTCGTGACCTTGATGAGGCTGAACCATAGCGTTGTATAGAAGGCTCCAACCCACTCCTTTTTTCTGAGTTTTTAAGCCTTGAGGTAAACCATGATCACCTCCTTTGAATATTCATGATTTTAGCTTGATTAAGCCACTAAAAGAGGAAACTTTGATTATATGAGTTAAAGGGTGATAAACTATGTCTAAAATACATTAATGAACTTCTGTTTATGGAGTTATTGGACTCCAAATAGTGGAAGAACCTTTAAAATGGGAATTATGCAGAGAATGCACGAGTTTCTACATTTTGTCTGATAAGTATTCAAATACTTTTCGTGGAGTATTCGAATACTCATCAGAAGGTAGTCGAATACTCATGAAGGAGTATTGGGATACTTTTCTGGGAAGAAAAGTATTCGAATACTGTGTAGTATTCGGATACCGTGGGAAAAGTATTCGGATACTGTGTGGTATTCGAATACTTTAGTGAAAGTATTCGGATACTTTCTAGAGATATGGAGTATTCGAATACTCATCGAGGAGTATTCGAATACTCCCTCCTGCAGATTAAGCCTAAAATCACTTAAAATAAGTTGGAAAGTCTTAAACACTTAGTGAAACCTTGGGCTATGAATGTTAATGATTATTTATGCTATAAACAGACTATGATTGTGTTGTTTGGTGACCTTGGGCGGATGTAGACTCTTGATTGGACGGATAGCTTGAGATGTGAGCTTTTGTGTCCTCGGTTTTGCCCATTATTGATTCCACTATACCTCATAGAGGGATGATTTATATGCATGAAGTGTTTTGTGAAATTATGTGATGAATATTTGAAATACTTTTGAGCTATTAAGTGCAAGTGCCTTATGATATGTATGTGGTGTACCACCTAGACAGTAAGCCTGAGTATGTAGAGACATACAAGATGGTGAATCTGTGGGTGAGGTGCAAGTAGTGTTCCTTGTACTGTAGGTTGTAGACGTATGTAATCCCTACATGTTTATTCTCTGGCCAGTAGGATTATTACACACATGACATAGATATATGCTGCATTGCACAGATTTTGGAAATGATATTGTTATACTGTTTTGGAACTTATATTGCACATGTAAGTAAGCTTGGGGTGGAGAGATCCTTGAGGACCCCTTGTCTTACTGATATTTCTTTTTAGAGATCTCACCTCGTGTTGGAGCACATTTTCAGGTACAGGTACCTCGGGGGTTGAGACCTCCAGCGGCAGGAGGCCGGAGTTGAGTTGATATGCATGTTGTTGAGCTGATATGTTAGAGATTGATATACTTTTATATTAGTATATGATTATCTGAATTGAGACATTGATTGAGCTTTGTTGTTTTATTTGGTGAGCATGAGGGTTGTCCATGTTACATTGGTGTTGTTATGATGTTTCAGACTTGAGTTGTATAATGTATCAGGATATTGTCTAGTTTACGGTTATAGTTCCGTGACTAGATACACATTTATATCTTGAGGTT